AGCTTAGTGCAATTCATGGCACATAGTAAGCCCTTAAATGCTTTTTTACTCACTGATTGAGGCATTCACTAATTCCCTCAAATAAAAGTTATGTTGACTCATCAAACTTTTCATAGTATTATTTAGACCTCTCATTGGTACTCAAGACATTCTGTCTTATATCTACATATTTGTGTATGTATAATAGCTTTTTAGTTAGATTATAAACTCCTTGAGGAAAACTCTGTTTTATTTTGTCTATGCATGCCCAGTATTGAACATGCCCTTGTAGACAGGTGCTTAATAAATGTAGGTCAAATGATACTTGTGCATAGCTGTGAAATAGATTTACCCTCTGCTTCCTTGGTCAGACCGCATCTTGAGTATTGTGTTCAGGTCTGGGTACCACATTTTAGGAAGGAGGAGGGCAGCCAGAAAGGTAAGTGTATGTAAGTCCATGGTATACAAGCTTTGATTTAATCCAATTCAACCAACATTTATTTAGTGCCAGATATAAGAAAAGCACTAGAGATCCAAAGACATAAACTAAAAAGTCTTTAACCTCAGAAAATTTACATTTTACTTAAAAGAAGTGAGGAAAAAGAAACATCAACAAACGTAATACCGATCCTCAAGTATCTGCAAAGCTGTCACGTGAAAGAAAGATTAGGTTCCATTATATTGTGAGCCGAATGAGAGCAGGTACTGTTTTTGCCTTTTGTTGTATCCTCTGCACATAGTAGCCTGGCACATAGTAGGCACTTAATAAATGCTTGTGGACTTGACTTGCTCTGCTTTGCTCCAGAGAGCTGAATTATGTAGGAGCAATGGGAGAAGTTGCAGAAAGATAGATTTCAGTTTGGTATAAGGAAAACATCCTAACAATTAGAGCTGTTCAAAATGGCCCATCTTGGGAGTGACCTCTCCACCACTAGAGGTGCTGGAATGGACTTGGAAGGGATGTTGAAGAGGGGATTTCTGCTAAGGTGCAGGTTGGAGTGGATACAGGAATGGGGAACCTGCAGTGTCGAGGCTACAGATCTCTGAGGTCCCTTCACACTCTGATAGGCTCTGATTCTATTGTAATCCTTCTGTCAGAAGCTTTTGTAGAATGAGGGGCTTGGTTATACTGGGGAATTAAAAAAAAATTCTCTTGGAAAACAACCTCAACCTAGAAAAACTGGGGAAATGTAGGCATAGTACCCCCAGGATGCCAACACTTATTTCTTACTTGAATATTCAGAGTTTACAAAGTTAAGGAAGAAAATAAGTTTTATTGATTGATCAAAGAAGACTCTTGGAAAATGTACAGACTTTCTAATGAGCAATCCTGGGGGAAAAACTAATATAAATTCCCAGTCACTTAGAGTTCCTAATAGGAGGAATAATAGATAGTAACTGATTCTTTCACAATGCTTTAAGGTTTACGAAGTGATTTCGTATATTATCTCATTTGATACCAATATTGTTAAGCCAGTTTTCTCTCCCTGTAATTCATAAATGCTCATAAGGGATGAACTCATCAATGCGCAATCCTGCAGTTCCTGGTTAATACCAGCAGGTGATGTCAGGAGCTACAATCCAGGGTTGTACTTCCTGCAAAACTCCTTCATAGCAGCCTGCTGGTGTTATCAGGCATTCTGTAGCTCCTTATGCCAGGAGCTGCAGGTATGATTTAAGATGTGGAGGTAGAAATTCGTATAAGATGGCAGATTCAGAGACCACACACCTTAATATCCTTTCTCCCTGACATCTGGGAGAGATGTCTTCCACTTCTGGAAGCAGTGTCCAAACCCCCACTATTTTTGGAAATCAACAAAGCACCACAATTTCCCCCTAATCATCCCCAATTGCAACCAGGGTAAAATGTAACATGCTCTTATAAGAGCGGGGTTGATTAAAGCTCTTCCCCCGGATCAATATGATAAACTTACCTCCTTATAGACTGTGGTTCTGCCCACTGGTACCTTGTTAAGAGGATAAAGAAAACTCCCAGATTATCTCTCAAAACACTGAGGCTATTCTAGGGGAGATTGGCTGATTTGGAGTCTTCCTTTGGTCTTTCCAAGGGGCTAGGTTTCAGTGACTTGGGGTAGTCCCCAAGATATTTAATTAGGTAAGGACTTGGGCCTGGAATCAGGAAGACCTGAGTTCAAATGTAACCCCAGATGCTTTTCCTAGCTGTGTGATTCTGGGCAAGTCATTTAACCCTATTTGCCTCAGTTTTCTCAACTATAAAATGGAGACCCTGGAGAAGGAAATGGCAAACCACCCAAGTATCTTTGCCAAGAAAACCCCAGATGGGGTCATGAAGAGTCAAACTGAAAGAGTCGGACTGAAAAATGACTGAACAACAATAACAAAAGGACTGGGGAGGATAGACTTTGGTCAGAGGATCCTGACCCTTGGTGAGGATCTATAAAAGAAAGCCAACTGACCAGAACTCACTCATGAAAGCGAAGGGAATAAGCATTAGGTGGCACTTACTATGTGCCAGTCATTTTGCTAACTGCTTTACAAATATTAATCTTATTAGATCCTCACAACTATGAGTTCTTATCTTCTGAGTTGAGGAAACTGAAACAGGATTTTTTTTAAGTGACTTGCTGAGGGTCACATAGCTTGTAAGTCTCTAAGACTAGATTTGAACTCAGCAGAGAGGACCTGCGTGGGTGGGGGGGAGCAGGGAGTGGAATATTTGTGCATCTATGTACTCTCTTCTCAGGAATGACTTTCTTGGTGCAAAAGCCCTTGGCACTTGCTAAGAATATCCCAGTGAGCTATTAGGCCCAAGAGATTATAGCCCCCAGGCTGTGGAGGAATAGTAAGAGTTCCTATAGAAGCAAAGGGTAGAGATAGACACATTCCTTCCCATTTGACTCAGGAGGGGAGAGGTTCTTAGATACTGTTCTTGAACCCAAATCCCGTGCAAAGGAGAAGGAAGAATCTTGACTTCCTAAGCAGTTTGATCCCTGAATCTAGCCTTATAGAAGAGAAGGGAGATTTCTTGGGCAGTGCCAGAGAAAGAGAGAGAGAGAGAGAGAGAGAGAGAGAGAGAGAGAGAGAGAGAGAATGGGATTCTGGGAGATAGAAGAGGATTTCCCAAGTGAGCCCTGTAGTTGGAGGAACCATAAGGGTTAAAATCTCAACAAAAGGGAACAAGAGATTGGAACCTTGCCTCCCCACTATTGAAATGAATAATTCAGACAGTTCAATCTAATGGGAAGGTGGTTGCCTAGCTAGCAGCCCCAAAGTGTTTTTGCCTTCTGGAATTTCCTGAGTGTGGAGGAGGTAGGGTGGCCCCTGCCCACCCTGGAATCTATGGCCATTGCTCCCACATGGCAGCGGGCTCATGTATTTCTAGGCGAGCCTGACCTGGGTTTTGGGCACCTGGCTGCCTTTCACATATTGTTTTGTTTTTCCCTGCAAGTATAGGTGACCAAACAGTGACTGGAAGATAGACTTTTTGGAGTAGCTATCCTGAGAGTTTGGGAATTCTTGGGTTCCTCAGTTGGTGCTGGTTGCTACTGTACGTTTTTCAGAGGAGAAGATAACTCCCAGCAAGAGGAAGAGCTCAAGCTTCAGCCTGGTTTCCCAGAAGACTTCGATCGGGAGGGAGCTGTTTGTTTAGTACAGAGTCAAGGTGAAGGAAAATGCCTATTAAACAGTACCACCAAATGTTCCTTGTCTTAAAAATTTTAAGTATCAACTTCCTGGAAGAGCATAGTAGTAATTATAAGTTGTGACTTTGCGTTTAATATTGTCAATTCATGCTTGTGAATTTTGTGTTTTAAGCATTTCTTTTGAATGGAGGAAATAAATAGCTGTCCTATACCTGATCTTCATTGTACAGAGTACCTTTCTATTTCCCTTTTTGGGGATACCCAGACATGAGCCAAACTTAAGCTATAAGTGATTTTCTCTAGAGCTATAAGGTGGCAGTTAATAGAGGCAGAGCAGACCAAAAAAAGGAGCCTTCCCCTTCTTTTTAAGGGTTAGGCTCCCCTCGGACTGAATCTAGTCTATATGCATGAGTTCAGAGCTAGGGAAGGGAGCCTTTTGGACGGAGAGGGGCCAGCAATAGTCTTGTGTGTTTCTGTATATGGTAATGTATTTAGTCTTAGGCAGAAGGAATCCAGATATTCATTGATCCCAAGGACAAAAAGGAAGAGAAACTCCTGCCAAGCATATAAAAACAGCATATAGAGGTCATAGGACTGGAAGAGACCTTAGAACATATGACATAGAAAGTCAGATTTGAGAGGGCTCTTAGACCATAGATCACAGAATGCCAGAGCTGTGAATGACCTTAGAGATTTAATCCAGGGATTCTTAACCCGGGGTCCATGAATTTATTTTTTTAAAATAAAATACTAAATTATTAATTTAAATTATTTAAAAATACTTTAATGCCTGCATTTGGATAGAATTGGTTTCTTTTCTAATCTTATGTACTTTATTTTATACATTTGAAAACATTATTCTCATTCTGAGGAGTCCTTAGGCTTTGTAGACTATCAAAGGGGTCCAGGACATAAACAAGATCGAGAACTTCTGATCTAGTCTAACACCCACTCTTTACATATTAGAAAACTGAGGCCCAGAGAGGGACCATAATTTGCTCAAGGTCACAGGTAGATTAGTGGCACAACCAGGACTAGGATGAGAATCTAGGTCTTCGGCTTCCAAGTTCAGGTTCCAATACACTCCTTTGCCTACCGTAAACTCCCTGGACAGAGGTTGGGACTGGACAAGATGGGCAGGAAACAGCTTTGGGCCGTGCTCCACGAGAGGCTGTAACGTGAATCCTGCTGAAGGTGGGGGCTGGGAGCAAGAGGAGGGCACAGGTGACTGATGCCAGACAGGGATTTTGCTTAAATACTCCTGGGGGTGATTTAGAGATCCTCACAGCTGACAGAGGGCTGACTCACCTATGCCAGGCTCCTGCTTCTGCTTTTTAAATTAAGTGAACACAGGGTTTAAGAGGAAAGCCATTAAGATAACTGAACCTGAATTTAGACATGGGCAACAAGCAGACAGTTTTCACTCCGGAACAGCTTGACGCATATCAGGTAAGAGCCCGGAGAGGGAGAAACAAGTCTGCCATTTTTACCTAGTTTAGCTCGACATACTAAGTGTCCACCAAGCTAAATGTGAGTCCTTCTGCTTGGTCCTGGAGAAACAAAGATGGAAAACATCTGTTTCCCTCAAGGATCTTACAATCTAATAGGGGGATAAACAGGAATAACTATAAGATAAGTTGGGATGTGATAAGAACGTACAAGAGGTTAAATCAAAAAGACGAGAGATTTGGGTCAGGAAGGAACACTTCAGAGGAGGCTTCAAGGACACTTACTTTTATTTTAAGAAAGGGAAGGATTTCCATCAGTAGAAGTGGGCAAGGGGCATCTCTTTCAGTTATGGAGGATAGCTTGGAAACAGGAAAGGAAAAGATGGGAAGGATGAAACTGAGGGATGTTGAGTTCTGTAGTTTGGCTGGAATATAGAGTGAAAGGTGGTAATTTTCCGATTGGAAAAGTTCATTAGAATTAGATTATGGAGGGCCTTGAACACTAAATCAGAGAGTTTGGATTTTCTCTTGCATTGAAGGGTTTTGAGCAGAATTTAGACCTGTGCCTTGGGCAGATTATTCTGGAAGCATGTGAAGGACAAACTGGAAAGGGGAGAATTCTCGGGATCTGAGATGGGTGGCCATGTGTCTCTTTTTGACTGCTTATACTGCTACATCTTGGATTATAGCTATTGCACTCACTGACCTAGGCTACGTCTGTGTGGTGCTGAAACAATTCTACCAGAAATTCAGCTGGTTGGGGAAAAATACTAGTCAAAATGGTTGATTTGTGTTGTTTTCAGGCCCATGGATGACTGACCTTCCCTTTGATTAGACAACTGTGTTCATAAAGTCCAAGGGAGATCTGATCACCCCTATAAAAGACATATTTGTGGCACAAAGGGGAAGTTTTGACAAACCAACATTCTGTATTCCCCTTTCTTTGCAGGATTGTACCTTCTTTACAAGGAAAGAAATTCTGAGGTAAGTCTCTTCTGGTTCCCATTCTGCCATCACTGGAAAGGCTCAAGCTGAGGGTGGGTGGTTATAGGATCATAGGATTTTTGAGTTTAAAGGGATCTCAGAGATCCTATAGTCCAGGGGTTCTTATAACCTAGTATTTCAGGGTGTCTGTGAACCTAGATGGGAAAAGATTCTTTATTTTCAAAAACCTTTGGTTTCCTTTATCATCCTGTGGATTTTATCTTATGCCTTTAAAAACATTATTCTGAGAAGGGGTCCATAGGGTTTGTCAGGCTGTCAAAGGAGCCCATGACCTGCCCAAAAAGGTTAAGAACTCCTAATCTAGTCCAACTTCATCATTTTACAAATGAGGAAACTGAGGTCAATATTTAAGTAATTTGCCTAAGTTCATACAGGCAGCAAGTAGCAGAGCTAGGATTTGAATCCAGATACTTTGACCTCAAATTCAATATTCTTCTGTGTGTATTACTCAGAACACTGCATGAGGGGGCAAGACTGCCAGATAGCAAAATTGCAAAGCTGACAGTTTATTTTCAGGGCAGGGATGTATGGAATGATTTTGTTGTACTATCTCAAAAGAGAGATAGAACACAGAGAAATGGAGGAGGAGTAGAGCATACTCTCTTCTTTTTACCATAGTCACTGGTGGGCTGAACTATCAGTTGGCACCATCAGGTCAGTTTGCCAGGATCGTAATTGATACTATCAATCAATACTATCAATACAATCAATACTATTGATGGTTTGGCTTGATGTTGATTGACAGCTTAGTCAGTGACAAAGGACTTCTTGTCCTCCTCCCTGTCCCCCCTCCACCATTACCTGTATACTAAATGAGCAGGTAGTCCATAACAGTGGGAAGTATATTATCTTCTCTCTTCTTCACCCCTGTCTCCCACAGCCTTCATTCAGACTAAAGTGTAAAGGACTAGGAATGACTGCAATTAGATTTGTTCTGTTTGGCCCCCAGGGAGTAGAACCAGGAACAATGAATGAAATTGCAAAGGGGCAAGTTTAGGTTTGATGTCAGGAAAAACTTCCTAACAATTAGGGCTTTCCCAGAGTGGAGTGAGCTGCTTAAGATGCTCAGGTTTCCCCTCTCTGCAGGACTTCAGGCAGAGGCTGCTGGGTAACCACTTGTTGGATAGGTTATAGTGGGCATTCCTTCATGTTTGGGTTAGACTAGATGACTGGGGAGTTCCCTTCTAATTGTCAAATTATGTGATCCTCTAATTGATAGCTTTAAGGATGAGCCCTGGCAGGACACTGAAGAAAGGAATGGTGGATTGTAGCAGAGATCAAAGTCTTAAATTAAGGGAATACAATTTAGAGAATAGATAATAGGATTTAGAGCAGGGAGGGAGTTTAGGGAATATCTGGTCCAGAGGTTCTTACCTTGGTATCTGTAAACATTAAAAAAAAAAAAGTTAGATAACTTCAAAACAGGGTGGACCCAAAGTCTTAGTTTGAAACCATAATAGCTTAAAACTGCATGGTTTTAAGTTATTAAAGTTAAAACTTAAAGTTTTTAAGCTTTTAAAGCTTTTAAGCTTTAAGAGATAAAAACTACATAGTTTTAAGCTATCATAACTGAAAACTAAGACTCTTGGGACACTCTATGTAATTGTTTTTTTTTCTGTAATCTTTTGTATTTCGTTTAATGCATTATTCCAAAAAGGGTCCTATAGGCTTCACCAGACTGCAAAAGGAATCTATGATACAAGAAAGGTCAAGATCCCAATTTAGTTCAACTCTCTCATCTTAGAGTTGGAGAAACTGAGGCTCAGAGAGACTGTAGGCCTTAGCTAGTAAGTGGTTGGGAGTGGAAGGTTTATGGAGTCTATGCTCAGCACAGGCAGAATAGTTTAATGCAAAAAGATTTGAACTTGTAGTCTGGAGACTCCAAATCCTGGTTCTTATACTACCTGTGGGACCTTGAGCAAAGGATTTCATGACTTTAGGTCTCAGTTTCCCCATCTATAAAGTGGGGATAACAATATTGTTTTCAAAAAGATTGCTTCAAGGAGAGTGCTTTGTAAACTGTAAAGCACCATAGAAATGTCAGATGTTGTCATTAAGGTGCTAAATAAGATATATCTGGAGTGAGATTCCAGGCAGGTTTATTAGGATTAGGTTGATTAGGAAAGAAGCAGGAGGATGGAAATTCTTAAGTACATGCCATAAGAGGATCAGTTGAAGTAATAGTTTAAAACTAGAGAAGAGGTTTAAAATATGAATATTGAGAAATGAGAGAAGATATTTAAACTAGGGAAGTTTAAACTAGAGAAGATGTTTAAGCTGGAGGTGTTTAAACTAGAGAAGGTTTCAACTGGGGATGTTTAAACTATAGAAGAAAAGGCTTAGGGATTACTTGATAGCTATCTATGAAGTAGACTCATGTCTGTTTTGTATGTTTGTTTCATATATTTATGAAGCAGACATATGTCCTTTTCATATTTGTTTCATGTCTATAAAGTAGACACAAGTCTATTTCATATGTTTGTTTCATGTATATCTATGAAGTAGACAATATCTATTTTATATGTTCGTTTCATTTGTCTATGAAGGAGACACATGTCCATTTCATATGTTTGTTTCATATATATCTATGAAGTAGACAATGTCTATTTTGTATATTTGTTTCTTAAGTCTATGAAGTAGACACATGTACATTTCATAGGTTTGTTTCAAGTCTATAAAATAGTCACACGTCTATTTCATGTTTATTTCATCTATGTCTATGAAGTAGACAATGTCTATTTTGTATGTTTGTTTCACATGTCTATGAAACAGATACATACCCATTTCATATGTTTGTTTCATATGTCTTTGAAGTAGGCACATGTCCATTTTGTATGTTTATTTCATGTCTGTAAAGTAGACACATGCCTATTTTGTATGTCTCTGAAAGGCTGTCACCTGGAAGAAGAATTGATCACTTTGCTTGGTCTGAGAGGGGAGAACTAGAAACAATGGATAAAAATTGCAAAGAAGTAAAATTTGGCTCAATGTCAGAAAAAGTAACCTAATAATCACAGCTATTCCAAAGTGAAATGGACTGCTTTTGAGAATTCTGGGTTCCCCTTACAATGGAGGTCTGTCTTTGAGCCAAGGCTAGGTAACTAGGTTGTAGATGGGATTCGTTTTTTGGGCATGAGTTAGATTCGATGGCCCTGACATCCCTTCTAAATCTGAGATTCTGTGATTTCATGACCCTAGACATCAGGTCAGACAGATGGGAGGGAGATTGTTCTCCCTTGCAGGGTACTTTCAGCACAAATTACTCTCAGGATATTCGAGAAATCATGGAATCTTCAGAAGGCCCGGGCTGGGCCATGTCACTAGTTATATAATTCATCTGCCCTTTGCAAGACCCACATCCTATTGTGTTCTTCACCTGAAGCCCAGACTGCCCGGGTTGGGAAGTCTGTCATACCTGAAACCCAAGCCTGGGTTGGTGTTTGATCATGTATTGATTGGAGGCCAAGCCCATAATTGTGTCATGAATAAGGCATTTATTATTAATGTGAAATCCTTTTCAAAATACTGCCCTATTGTTCCCAGGCATGTCCAATGATGACAGCTTTAAATGGGGCTTGTGGGCTTCATCTCAGAAGGAGATACTCATGCAGAGGAGAAAGTCATGGTCACACGTCAAATGAATCCTCTAAGCTAAGTGCTGGAGATACAAAGAAAGGCAAAAAAAAAAAAAATCCCTGCTTTCAAGGAGCTTACAGGCTAATCCAACATACACATTTGATCCTTTCAATGGCCTTATCAGGTTGGTCAGGCACGTCTTATTAGCCCCATTATATAGGTGAGGAAACTAAGTCTCAAAGAGGAAAAACTCCTTGCCTGAGAGAGCACAGCAGGTCCATGACTTGTACTGAGGTCATAAGGTCATGGGATCATATCTCTAGAGATGAAATGGACTTAAAGATCATCTCATCCAGTCCTCTCGTTCTGCAGGTGAGGATACTGGGGCTTAGAGAACTTAAGTAACTTGCCCTAAATCAACAATTAGTACATGAAATATTATATAGTCAATCAACAAGCATTCAATAAATGCCTACTATGTGCTAGGTGAGAGCCAGTGCAGTGTAGAGAGACTAGAAAATCAGCTTTGAAGCTGGAAGACCGGCATTATAATCCTGCCAATGACCTGTACTGTCTGTGTCAACCTGGGCCAGTCATTTAACCTCTCAGTGCTTTAGGCACTGTGAACTGTGTGAACCAGAACAGAGAGGCAGATCACTGAGGAGGAATATATCAAACAGGGATACAAACCTTTGATATCCGTTTATGGCAGATGCGATGGGTGAAATCTGAAATAACTCAGGAAGCAAAGGTTTGAGTTTCTGAGCATATTGATTTATTAAGCAATGCATGCCAATTGCCTAACAAATTGGGACCAGGCCTCCTCAGCTTGGTGTTGCACCCCAAATACAGGAGGAGACAGATTTTTATGCATTAAAAGAAAACAATAAACAGGATATAAATCAGGATACAAAATTAGGTAATTTGATTTCTAATTGGAAGAAAGATTGGTGACTTTCCAAATTTCGAGGGGGAGAGCGAACAGGTACAATTCCTTGAAATCAGAAAAAGAGGTATCCCTCCCCAACCCCGCAAGTGTCTGGATTCAATCAAAGTAACAAGGAAACAGTAACGGATTGACCGGGGTGGGCTCAGTTTTCAGATGACGTATGGGTTTCTAGAGATGTGTAATTATGAAAAAACTCATCGTATCAGTCTTCAGATCCGACCGGGTTTCTGGTCAGCATGACCTAGGTCCTTAGTTAAGGGTCTCTAAGCAACAAGTAGTCATTTAACCCTGTTTGCCTCAGTTCCTCATCTGTAGGATGAGCTGGAGAAGGAAATGGCAAACCACTCTAGTTTCTGCTGAGAAAACACCGAATGGGGTCACGAAGAGTTAGACATTACTGAAATGACTGAACAACAACAAAGTAACAGAGAGCGGTGGTGCAGCTTCCCAGCCACGCAGGGCTAGGTTCAAACAATGTAGCAGCGTTTTCTCACAATTCCCATAACTGAGTAAAGTTTTGTCACAAGACAGAAATTGGACTAGACCTATAAATGAATAGCAAGGGAATTGAGCTAGATCCAGAATTGAGTCCCAAGGTGGAGTCAGCGTGGTTCACTCAATTCCCACAATTCTCTCACAGAGCCCTGAAAGGCTACGTCCTAAAACAGTTCTTTTTTTCTTCCACATCCCAGGCTATTTTATCGTTTTCAGGCTCTGGCTCCTCAGCTGGTTACTCTTGACTACACCAGCAATCCTGGTGTGAAGGTGCCCTATGAGGTCATCAGCAGCATGCCTGAGCTAAAGGTATGAGGTAGGAGGGAGAGTGTCAGAATTCAGGGCAGGGTCAGCCCCCCACATGACTGGGAGATGACTCTGGTAGTCAGCTAGGCTCCCTCCTAGCAGGACTTTTTTTTCCATGGGGTACCTTTGGGGCCTTCCTGTTTCCCTCTTCTCACCACCTTGGAATTCCTTTCCTCTTGCCCTGGCCCTTCTCCGGGCCTCTTCTCCTTACCGAGGCTCAGTGTCAGCCAGTCCAGCTGACAACTCAAAATGTGTGGGTCCATCTATCCCTATGAGGTCCCCTTTCCCCCAGTTTAGCCGATAGAATAGGTGGGGGAATTTGCACAGGCCCTTCCTCTTCCTCACTCCCTAAAAATAGCAATCGGCCATTGTTTTAAGGGCATGAGGTCAGTCCACATGTAATAACCTTGTTTGCAGAGTTTTGCAGGGTCTGTATTTGGTCCTGGGAGAATTCTAATGCCATTTTAACAGCCCTGAGGTAGTTGACTAGTTGGAGTGATTCCAAAGCCCAGAAGTCCTCAGTAGCCCTTAATTACCAATCCTCATCCCATCAGAGCTTTTCCTTAACTTTTTCATAGAATCACAGAATTTGAAAGCTGAAAGAGACCTCGAACATCATCTAGTCTGACTCAAACATGAAGGAACTATAAAATACCATCCAGCCCATGCCTGAAGACCTCCTGGGAATCTCCCACCTCTCCAAGCAGCCTTTTCTATTTTGTGACAGTTCTAATCATTAGGAATGTTTTCTTCCTGACATCAAGCTTTGATTTGCCTTTTTGCAACTTCTACCCATCCTTTTGCTTCTGCTCTCTAGAACTAAACAGAACAGATCCAATCCTTCTTATATGTGACAACCCTTCAAATACTTGAAGACTGCTATCATGCCCCAACCCCATTGTTATTCATGCAACCTAAGATTTTGTTGGCTTTTTTTGGCTGCTATGTTGACTCATATTGAGCTCATGGTCCACTAAAACTCTCAAATTTTTTTCAAACAAACTGGTATCAGTTCACCTTTCCCTGTTCTGTATTTGTTCAGTTAACTTTTTGAGCCCAATAATAACATTTTCCATTTGTCCCTGTTTAAGTTCACCTTCTTAGATTTGGCCTATCCTCATCCACCGAGATGTTTTTGTTTACTAATTCTGTTACTTAATATTTTATTTGTCCCTCCTATCTTTGAGTCATCAGTATTTTATTTTATTTTATTTTATTGAGATTGGATCTCCCTATATTTCCTGGGCTAGAAGTACAGTGGCCACTTACAGGTCTGATTCCAATGCTGATTGGTATGAAAGCCAACTTGCTCAATTTTTTTAAATGGCCTGGGACTGCTTGCCCATCCTTAGCCAGTCTGGTAGCCCTCTGTTTCTGGGGCTTGCCACATTAGTGCTATACTTAGTGTGGACACTAGATAGGCTTTAGCCTTACTGTTGGTCAGAACTTCCATACTCAAATGGTCCACCAGCTTCAGCATCCCCCAGTAACAGGGATGTGCCTGGCCATCAGCAAATTTGGCAAGCATATAGTCTATACTTTCATCCAAGTCATGAATAAAAATAAAACCTCTAACAGAATAGGATTAAGGACACATCCCTGAAGCAGTACCTTGGACTCATCCTCCAAATTGATAGCTGATCCATTCAATTCAATTCAGTAATCAAATTGAAGACAAAAGTTCAATAGTCTCTGCCCTCAAAGGACCTTATAGTATAACAGGAGAGAAAACTTGTAGATATGTAAGAATGTAAATGATATATACCAAATAAATACCCAATAGGTTCTGGAGTTAGGATATTAACAGCGGGGGGAATGGGAACATCTTCATAGAGAAGAAAGAACTAGTGGAAGATCCTCTGCGTGTACTGGGGATACAATGACAAAACAGAAAGCAGGTCCTCCCCTCAAGGAGCTTACATTCTACTGGATCCATTAATCACTATTGTTTGGGCTTGGTCATCCAATAAGATTTGCATCTACCTAATGGTGCTTTCAACTCTTTCCTTTCTAGGATAACCCATTCCGAGAGAGGATTGCTCAGGTCTTTTCCCAGGATGGGGATGGGAACATGACCTTGGATGATTTTCTGGACATGTTTTCTGTGATGAGTGAAATGGCTCCTAGAGATCTAAAAGCATATTATGCTTTTAAAATTTATGGTAAGTGAAAGGGACCTGGCCATGGGGCTCTAGGGAAAGATAGGAGCTCTGAGGCCAGATATTTTTTCCATCTAGATTGTGGTCTCAGTTCTGCCAAGCCCAAATAGCGAGAAAGCAGTTGAGAATTGGGTTTGAGTCCCAGCTCTTGCACTAACTCACCACATGTTCTTGACAAGTAACTTTGCCAATCTGTTCCTCAGTTTCCTCATGTATAAATGGGACCAGGGAGGGCAAAATGGGAATAGAATATCTCCAAGGACTTTCCAGTTTTTATAGTCTTAAAATTGCACCCATCACTGATTGCCTTTAATAGACCCATCCTGGGCCAATATTCATCCCTAACACCCCTGTCCTCAGGCACTGCCTGCTCCTATTACTCTTTTACCCAAATAAAACCTATCTCTGTCATCCTTACCCCTGGAAACGGTCTGCCTCAAATGTCACTCTGTCCTGGGCACTGCTTGTCTCTAAATTCCTCATCCCCAGACAATGCCTACTTCTCACAGTCCCTCAACCCCAGGGCACCCCTCTTCATTTTGGGCCTTTGCTCCAAGGCCACAGTGAAACTCAATGGCACCATTTGGCCCAGATTTTAACAACGATGACTATATCTGCCCGTTGGACCTGGAGAAGACTATGATCAAGCTCACTCGAGGTGAGCTGACTCCTGAGGAAGTTGGCCTTGTGTGTGAGAAGGTGATTAATGAAGCTGATGTGGACAACGATGGCAAACTCTCTCTGGATGACTTTCAAAACATGATTCTACATGCCCCAGACTTCCTCAGGTGATTGCCCTTTCCGCAAAATCTACTGTTAGAAATTTATTACTTTAACCAGGGCTGTGCTTCCTATTAAAATGTGTTTTTTACTCCCACCCCTGGACAGGTTATGCTTTAAATTCTTATTAGTCATTTATAGTTTAATGTGAACAATTTCAGATCCTTTCCTGAGAAAAGATGTAGGGGATAGGGAAAGTCTTCAAAGGACATCAAATGCTTATGAATAGTGAGGAGACTGGAATCACTGAGAGCAAACTTGCTTAACATCTTGTACACCATCCCTCCAGCCATATTTTCCACTCACTTACCTATCCATTCCTCCATCTATTTGTTTATTTACCTATCCACTTATCCACCCATTCTTCATATGTCCATGGGTTCCTTAATTTATTCAGTTATTTATTTACATGTTTTTCTACTCATCCATTCATCCATCCATCCATCCGTCCATTTATCTACCCACTTACTCATTCATTTATCAGCTCATGCATCCACTTACTCAACTGTATATCCATGTATCCATTCATTCATCTACCCACTCATTTACTTATTATCCCTTTATCCATTCACTTTTGTATCTTCCTCAATCTATCCATCTGCTCATCCATCTGTTCATTTACCTACCTGTTTACCTACCAATTTATTCATCTGTTCATGCATCTAAATTTGTTTTTATCTATTTATCTCCTTGCTCATTTAACCATCTATTAACTTATTAATTCCCTCAACAATTTATCTGTCCACCTACCTGTTTTTTTGCCTGCCTATTCACCTGTCAATTTATTCATCCATCCATCCATCCATCCATCCATCCACTTACCCATTTACTCATTTCTTTATCTATTCATTCCTTCACCTATATATTCATACATCCGTTCATTTTCTCAATCTTTTGTTTATTCTTTCATCTATCTATTTATTCATCTGTCTGAAGCCATTCACTCATCCCAAATACACAAGTTTACCTCTTCATTAATCCATTGATTTACCTACCTATTCATCCAACCATCAATATAAGTTCACTTATTCATTCTCCATTCATTTGTTTATTCTTGCATCCATCCCACCCATTCATTCATCTATCAATTAACCAACCAATCAACATTTATTAGTGTTTGCTATATGCCCAGTACTGTGCAAAATGCATTGCTACAAAGACAAAAAATCAACAATCACTGCTCTCAAAGGCTCTTATAGTCTAAGAGGAGAGAAAATATGTAAATATATAAGAATATAAATGATACAAACAAAATAAATACCAGGTAGGCTTTGGAGTTAGGACACTAGCAGTTGAGGGGATTGGGAAAGGCTTCATAAGAGAAGGAAGGAAGCACTTGAGCAGAATGTACCAAGAAACCAAGGATTCCAAGAGATTTGTGGACTGTCCCATCAAACATGTCCTTGTGTTTTTTCTTTCTCTGCTTTTACTCATGCCTAGAATCCTGTCCTGGTCCTGCTGTCTCTCTACCTGTGAAATCCTAGCCAGCCTTCATTGCCCATCTCAAATGCCACTTCTTCCAGGAAGTCTTTACTTATCCCCCCTGCTAGAAATAATCTCTCCCTCCTCTGAATTCTCATAGTATCTCGTTTGTATGTCTTGTATGCATTTAACATGGTAGTTATTTGTATGTAGACACTGTATCTTATTTATCTCATCAATCAATCAATCAGCAAGAACTTATTAAGCACTTACTGTATTCCAGGCACTGTGCTGCATTCTTGGGATAGAGAGCAAAAGCAAAACCAGTCTCTGCCTTCCTGGAGCTTACATTCTAATAGGGAAGACAATATGTACTTATATAGGCATAGGCAAAATATATACTGAGTAAATACAAGAGTAGATGAATGTTAAAGCGGAAGGCCCTAGTAGCTGGAGGACCGGGAGGGGAAGAGGGAAGGTCTTCTGCAGAGGGAAGCATTGACCTGAGTTTTGGAGGAAGCCAGGGATTCTAGGAGGTGGAGGCAAGAAGAAAGTGAATTATAGGACCCCACACTAAAGTCCATGAAGTGGCATGAGCTCTTTATGGGGGGGACACCCCATAAACTTTCTCACTTCTTTGCTTTGTTCTCTCCTGCAGCACCTTTCACATCCGAATCTGAAGTGTAGCTGGCAAGCCTGGTCCAGCTTGGCCCTCCCCAGCACTACTGTACCTCCAGCATCCACCCTCATCTATCTGTCCCTACAGCTGGATCCACTCACCTCAGTCATGACCCTGGCACCCCATTCTTCTCTATAGTAAATTAGGTTTGATTCAATCATGTTCCAGTATGCCATCCATTCCCAACATCTACTCAGTCAGCCTGCCTCTGACCTAGTATTCCATCTCTTTGACCCTAGAGTCAGACCTGGTGTTTTATTCCCCAGCACCTTGTCTTTTTCTATAACTAATCTTGCCTGATCCAGCCATTGTCAGTATCCCAGATTAGCCATGACCCCAGGACTCTACTCATCTGTTCCTAGCCTGGATATGATCCAACCTCCCATGCTTTCCCATAACCAACCTGGCCTGATTTAGCCAGTCCCAATGTCCTATTTATTTCTGTAACCTGGTCGACCTGGCCATGACTACAGTTCCCCATCCTTCCCTGTGACCAGCCTGACCCCGCCTATTAGCCTATCTACCCCTACAGCTGTTCTTTCTTGGTCTAATCATGACCTAGTTCCCCATTCATCCCCATGACCCGTCTGACCTGGCCCAAATATGAAGCAACTGCCTCATTAGAATGGAAACTCAGAGGACAGTGACTATTTGAGATTTTGCCTTTGTATCCCCAGCATATAGCACAGTGTATTGTACATGGTAGGCATTTAATCAATAAATGGTTATTGAATTGGGATGACTTCTTTTAAGTCAGCTCTTTGTTTCTGCAGCTAGGTTTGCCATGACTCCAAGGTGCCTTGACAACGTCTAGCTCTACCTAGCCATACTGTGTCTTCAGTGTTCCATCCCTCCTCATCACGGTCCTTCCTGCCCCAACCTTGTCCTGCAGCCAAGTCCAGGGGAAATCACTGGGTGCTGAATTTTTCAGGGGCCAGGTGAGGAGAGATCAGGACAATGTCTCCTTTTGGGAGGTGAGAGAAGTGATGAAAGGGAGGTGGGAGGGAGTCAAAGACAAACTTGGCCTACTTTGAGATTTTGCTTAGGATTGACCCTGCACCAAAAAAGGGGCAGACATTCTTTCTCCTTCCTTCTACATAATCTGACCTCTGTTCCCACGACTCAGAAGTCAGGTTAATGGTAGAATTTAGCTACACCCTAGGTCAGGTGGTTTTTGTGGTCTGGCCTTGGAACCTAACCACTATCTGTACTATTTTCTCTTTGGGGGTAATGCCCTCTGAATTCTCTAAAACTAAATTCGAAGTGGTTTTGTTGAGCAGTAGCTGTTTGTAAGATTTTTCCTCAGCAGTACAGACTGGCCCCCTTACTCAGTTTCCCTGGCTCTGTTATAAATAGGTACTCTCTGGCATCTTCCCTGGTTGGCCTGTTTGCCCCTTTGAGGCCTGAATTCTGCCAATGTCAGTTATTCAGGCTGGACCACTTACTTCCACCCTGCAGTGCTAGAAATAGCGGTTTTCTTTAGGCTTTCTTTGGACACAGGAGGAACAGGGTTCTTTCCTGTCTGAGTGCCAAGTCCATCCTGTTTGGTTACTGTTGGCTTCACAGTCACTCCCTTGTTCAAAATACTTTGGTGATTCACCATTGCCTACTGAGAGACAGCATTGTATATACAGCAGTTCTCAAACTTTTTGGTCTCAGGACCCCTTGAAAAGTATTGAGGAACCCAAAGAGCTTTTGTTTCTGTGGGTTATATCTATTGATATTTACCTTATTTGGGATTAAAATGACTTTGTATTATTATGAATACTATGATTTTAAATGAAATTCAAATTGAGTGATTTGAATTTGAAAGGAAAATTATGAATTTGATCTCATGGACCCCCTGAAAGGGTCTTAGGGACTCCCAGGGGTCTCTGGACCACACTTTGACAACCACTGGTAGTAGAAAGTAGCTTTGTAATCTCAGGTGAATTCCTTAGCCCCTTTGAGCCTTAGTTCATCTGTAAAATAGAGATGAAAATACTTTGGCTCCCTGCCTCACAGGGTTGTTATGAGGAAAGTACTTTTGCAAAGCAATATAGTAAGGTAATCTTCTATTACTATCACTTAATAAAGTCCAAACTGGCTGATATTCAAGGACCTCCACCATATGCCATCATCCTTCTTTCCCAGCTTTATCTCCCACATACTTTATGCTTTAGGCAAATAGACAACTCATTTCCCCTGAATATATGCCTCCCATTTCCTTTTTTTTTTTTTTTTTGCTATTGTCTTCTTTTTAAAAAGAACTTAAACAGCAACAAACACAAACATTTCAATGTTACAACAAAGAATATGAAAGAGAATTTTATATGAAACTTGGAATTTCTGGTGCATACATTTTTTTAAAGTATCTATTAACTTCAATGCAATAGTACAAAAGTAAGCATGCTTCTGGGCTTGTCTGTGCCTTTTTCTGAATTTCCTTCTACTTTCTTCTATATATTTTCAAATACTTCATTGTGTTTTCTTTTTTTTTTTTTTGAACCACTATTTCTACTCACAAACTACTCCTAGACCCATTCCCTGTCCCCAGAAAAGAGACTCTCTTTTAACCAATAAGTATATTCAAGTAGAACAAATCAACATATCGTATCTGTCTGTAAAAGTATATTTCTTTCTTCACCTCAGTCCTAGTCAATTCTGCCAAGAGGAGGGAAGCACACTCAGGCATCTAGGTAGTGCAGTGGACAGAACACTGTGAGTGGACTTAGGAAGGACTGAGCTCAAATCCAGCCCCAGATACTTACTAACCGTGTGACTCTGAGCAAGTCTCTTACCCTTGGTTTCCTCATCTGTAGAATGTGGATAATACTAGCACCCACCTCCCAGGGTTGTTGTGAGGATCAAATGAGATCATATTTGTGAACTTTAAAATGCTATGTAAGTGCTGGTTCTTCTTATTGTTCCTTCTTCATCAGTCTTCTGAAATTATGATTGGTTACTACAATAATCAGAATTCTGGAGACTTTTGAATTTATTCTTGTTTACATTATTATAATTAGAGTGTGAATTGTTCTCCTGGCTCTGCTCACTTCAAGCTGTATCAGTTCAGGCAATTTTTTCCCCCAGATTTTGCTGAAACATATTTGTCATTTCTTACAACTCAATGACATTCAGTTACATTCATATACCACAACTTGTTCAGTCATTTCCCAATTGATAGGTACCCACTTTATTTCCATTTCTTTGCTATAATACAACATACTGCTATAATTTTTTTTGCATATTTGGGTCCTATTTTCTCTGACCTTGACTTCCATGAGGGCATAAGCCTAGTTGTATTATCACTGGGTCAAAGGGTCCCCACAGTTTAGTGAGATTTTTGGCTAAAGTTCCAAATAGCTTTCTAGAATGTTTAAACCAGTTCACAGCTCTGAGAGTGCATTAATGTGCCTGCCCTCCCACAGCCCTACCAACAATTGCCACTTTCATCTTTCATCACTTTTACCAATCTGATTGGCATGACATACAACCTCAGAGGTGTTTTAATTTGCCTTTCGCTAATTATTAAGGATTTGGAGCATTCTTTCATATGATTATTGATAACTTGAATTTCTTCTTTTGAAAATGGCCTGTTCAAGGGACAGCTAGGTGGTACATCTCCTGGAGTCAGGAGGACCTGAGTTCAAATCCAGCTTCAGACACTTGACACTTACTAGCTAAGTGATCCTGGGCAAGCCATTTAACCCCATTGCCTAGTCAAAAAAAAACCAAACCCAAAAAAACAAAAAAACAAAACTCTGAGGAAGAGGGATGTTTAAAAAAAAAAAAAGAAAATGGCCTGTTCATATTCTTTGACAACCAGTCCTTTGTAGAATTATGCCATCATTTTCTCTTCTCAACAGAGCTATAACTAGGGCATGGCAGTCAGAACTATACCTGAGGGTAAATAAGGTAGGAGGTGTTAATACCATCTTCCTGGAGGTTCCTCCTCCCTTATTCTTGAGTGCAGCATCCTAATCTCCCTGTACCCTTTCTCTCCTGCCTCCCTCCCCTCCTGCCTAGACTTGCCCCCTGAAGCAGTGGTATAGCCCTTCCCCACCCCTCCTCCTCTGGATTCTCTGTTCCTCTGTTTGTCTTGTGTCCTTGTGAGCTACCCAGCTCCTCCTTGGGCCGTGGCAGTCTTCTCCTCAGTAGCTACTTTCACTTCTACACTTTTAGGAGGATAGAAACCTTGGGGGTATCCCAGGGTACACTTTGTACACCTCAGATCCATGTCTTTCCTTCCTGTAGGCAAAATTTATTTAAGATTCTGTTCTTCATTGCTTTGGCGTATGTGTTTTCCTTATGTAAAATGTTTCCTTTCCTTCTCCACCAGTTCCTACCCAATGGAAATTCCTCCTCTTCTATGAGACCTTCCTCTATCCTCTTCCGACAGCTCTTTGTATCTCTCTTGTGTGCTTGCCAAATGTCATCATGTTTTCTAGTTATCCATGTTGGTTATAGGCTCATAAGATCAAAGATTTAGATCTGGGAGGTACCTCAGAGGTCATCTTGTGCAACACCGTCATTTTATAGGTGGCGTCTTATCCTTCCACTACTTTGTGAACTCCATGAAGGCAGGGATTGTGTCATCTCTAACCCTTGTATCCTCCCTAAGGCCTATTATAGGCTTCTGTAGCTTCCAGGCTCTATGTAAATTATGCTGTTGTCATTCCGTTGAAGCCACCTCACTCTCCAACCTGGTAGAGAGCATCCCCTGGGAACTCTCTTTTTCCCTTTGACTTAGAGTTAGAATTTGAAAGCAAGATCATAGAATTTGAGAGTTGGAAGGGACCGCTGTGGTCACCTCGTCCAGCCTGTATATGCAGGAATCCCCGCTGTAACATACCAGACCAGTAGTGGTCTAGCCTCTGCTTGAAAACCTCCAAGGAGGGAAAACCCACCACCTCTCCTGGCAGCCTATTCCTGGCAGACACCACCTATCCCCCAGCCTATTGGGGCAGCTCTTGTTGCTAGCCCTCACTTTTTCCTGATATCCATCCGAAATTTGCCTCTGCAATTTTCGCCCACTGTTCCTGGTTTTTCCCTTTGGGGTCAAATAGGACAAATGTAACCCCTCCTTTGTATGACAGCTCACCAAATAGTGGATGCCAGCTATCATGTTCCTCTCCCTTCTTCTCCCCACTTCCTTCCAGTCGTCTCTTTTTCAGCTGATCTTCACTTGACACGTATTAGCCATAGGCATCTCTACCTAGCTCATCAACCTACTTGGGCTCTGCTGTCCTGCCCTGCCCTCCTGGCAGCCTGAATCTAGATACTTTTTGCCAGTCTTCTTGGCCCTACTTAATCCATCTAGAGATTTGCTCTTAGCATAGTTGGGTAAGTATTGTAGCTGAGCTGGACAGGTCGGGAAAAGTGCAGCCTGAGTGCCAAGAATAATGAGTTGGTAATGAGTTTTATGGAGCGCTCGGCTCACAACAGCCCCAAAGGTTGTCAGGATGTCAGGATGGCATTGTAGGTGCTAGATTTGGAATTAGGGGAGAGGGAGAGGGAGAATCCTGACTCTGCCTCTTGTGAGCAAGGTGGCTCGCGGGCATAAGCTTCCCTTCTTGGCCTCAGTTGGCTCATCTGTAAAATGATGGGGTTGGATTTGATGATCTCTAAAGTCCCTCCCAGTTTTATG